CAGCCGCTCCCGCACCCCATCCCTGCCAACCCCGCCCACCCGGGAGCCCAAGAAGGTGGCTGTGGTCCGCACGCCACCCAAGTCGCCGTCTTCAGCCAAGAGCCGCCTGCAGACTGCCCCCGTGCCCATGCCCGACCTGAAGAACGTCAGGTCCAAGATCGGCTCCACCGAAAACCTGAAGCACCAGCCAGGAGGCGGGAAGGTAAGGGCGTGCGGAGGCCGCTGTGCTTGTGTGGAACCGAACCGGAACCGGAACCGGAACCGGGGGAGGCGTGCGGCCCCCACACCTGGGGCAGAGGCAGGCGAGTGTCTGCCTCCCACCCTCACATAGCACCCCGGCCCCCTCCCAGACCTCTTCAAGGAAAGACAATGGGTTGTGGTTCTTTATTGGGGTCCCACGCAGCCAAGGGGGCTCTGAGTGGGGGAGAGAAAATGCCGGTTCTTTTCCTCCCCATGTCAGCCCCTGCTGATCAGAGGACGGTTGATCTGTGACCCGGGGGTCCTCGAAGTGGGGGTGCCCACTTCGTGTAGAACGTGACACAGCTGGTCGGTAGGTGGGTGTCAGGCGTTTGTCGGATGGTTGCTTAGATTAGGCTTCTCTCTACCTTCAGTTCTGGGGAAGTCTGGGCTCCATTTTGAACTGATTCTTCCAGGCGCAAGTGGGGGCTCATGAAATGTTGGGGTCCCCTAAAGGTGGGGGCCGTGAGCTTCCGAGGGCCTGAGGTGGAGGGAGAAGGGGCTGGCCTGGACCCCGCCTGCCCTCCTCCTCTTGTCCCTGCCCCCGAGTTTCCTGGGCCTGACACGGGAAATACCACGCTGGGTGCTTACACAGCAGAAACCTGTCTCCTCCCAGTGCCGAGGGCAGAAGCCCAGGACCGAGGTGTGGAAGGGCCGCTGAGGCCTCCCTCCTCGACTGGAGACGGCTGCCCCTCCTTGCGTGCTCCCGCTCCTCCCTCCGGGTGTCTCTGGGCCGACCTCCCCTCCTGTAAGCACACCAGTCATGCGGATGAGGGCTCACCCTAAGGTGCTGTTTTAACAGAACCACCCTGTACAGGCCCCGTCTCCAGACACAGCCACGTTCGGAGGCCCCGGGAGTTAGGACTTGAGCATATGAATTGTGGGTACACAGATCAGCCCTCCCCACCCACCACCAGGGGGGCACAGGGAAGGGAGAAGAGGAGGTGTGTGGGGTACCGAGGACCAAGGCTCTGCTCTGGAGGCCACAGATGTGTGGGGGCTTTGGGCTGGGCCGTTTGGGGGGCAATGAGCCTCCTGGTGGGCTGGGAGTCTTTACAGAACCTTCCAGTTGGGACAGCTCGACTCCCCCACAGCGGGCACCCTCCGCACCATCGATTTTATTACTCTTGGCCGGGGACTGGGTGTCCCTGGAAGAGGCCATCTCGGAGAGCCCGTGTGGGTGTCTCGCCTGAAACCCTGCTCTTGGCTCCTGCGGAGCCTCAGGGCCTCCCGCTGGCCCCTCCCAGCCGTGGGGGCCCAGGCGCCTCTCGGGGGAGCTGTCTTTGGACCACAGGGAGGCCCTGGGCCATGTTTCCTTCCTGCGATGCCGGCCTGTGCGCCTCTCGGTAGAGATGCCCGGCTCCTTCCAGGGGGGCTGAGGCAGCGGTGAGGGTGCTGGTTGGAGGCTGATCCTTCTGTGATGTTTGGGGGCAGAGGGGGCTCCAGGGACTTGGTTTGCAAGACGACGGGATGTTCCCCACGCGGCCCCCTCCCCTCAGTGCCGGGGGGCCTCGTGCCTGTTTTCATAGCAGTGTGACCGTTTGCCCGTTTTGAAAAATGAGAAGCAAAACCCCACCGGCCAGTGTGCGCCGTGGAGAGGATTCTGCAGCTGTGACCAGCGCAGCCAGAGGGAGCCGGAGCCCTGAGCGACTCCCAGCCCGCGGGGCCGTCACACACCAGCAAACACCGTGTCCTCCTGCCACCCCAGGGTCATCTGAGGTTGGCTTGGAAGGGCTGGGCACCTTTGGCCCAGTTCTTGCAGCTCTGCTGAGTGACAGCGCTGAGTGGAGGGGGGACTCTCCCAGGGCTGCCCTGCCCCCGCCCCGCACTGCGCAGGGCGAGGAGCCTGGGGACCAGGGCTGTGACCTGAGGCTCAGAGTGGAAGGGGAAGGTGCCCCAGGTCACCACTCACCAGGCCGGGCGCAGACGTGCCCTCATCTCCCGAAGGAGAGAGGGTGACTTTCCTTAGGACTGACCAGGCGGGAGGTGTGGGTAAGCGCAGAGGGAGGAGCGACAGCCGCCCCTTAACGTCCATAGAAAACCTAGACAATTGTCTGAACCAAAGACCACCTCAGCCCCCACGACAAAGAGCCACGCATCCGTCTCCGGGGAAACTGAAAAGGAAACAGAGACGCTTGGGATCCACGGAGAAGGCTCTTAAAGCGAACGTGTCCTCCGCCTGGGCTGGGCCGGCGGTTCCCGGAGGCGACGCTCAGGCCTTGGGGGCTGTGGCCTGTGGGAGCCTCAGCTGAGGGGCAGCTCCCTCCGTGAACCGAGGCCTCTGGGAAGAAGGAAGAGCAGCTGCTAGGCAACCTGCAGACCGAGAACCTCGGCCTTCCTACTTCCGTCGTGTGCAGTGATGGTGTACAGCTTGCAGAGACCAAAACGAAATTCTGAACTTTAAAAGGAGAGTGGGGAACAATCCCTCGGCCCCTCCACAGAACTAGACGAAGACGGGAGCCAGGGGCGGCGAGGCCGGCAGCTGCGGGTCACTGCAGATCAGGGAGCCTGCTCCTGGAGCCGGCACGGTTCTCATTCCCCACCCGGCGGCCAAGGAGAATCACCGGGGGGCGGGGGGGGGGGGTTCTGTTAAAAATCCTGACGCCAGAGCCTTTCCCAGGTTCGTAAGAACCTCAGGGGCCTCCCCAGGTGTTCCCGATGTGTGGTCCAGGCTAAGACCCCGTGTCCCCAAATGTCAGTCAGTCCCAGCCAGGCCACCCCCTCTGTCTCGCACCTCCCTCCCCAAGAGTCTGTCCGAGCCCTACTCTCTGTGAGGGGAGCAGGGGAGAATTCCATCATGGCGACAGAGAACCAGCATTTAAAACATATTTTAAAGGCCCTGGCTGGGTAGCTCAGTTGGTTAGAGTGTCATTCTGATACACCGAGGTTGCAGGTTTCATCCCCATTCAGGCCACATACAAGAATCAACCAACTAATGCAGAACTGGAACAACAAATCGATGTTTCTCTCTTGCTCCCTTCCTATCTCTAAAATCAATTTTTACATTTTTTTAAAAAATTTAAAACATTTTTTTAAAAGCTACTCACTGCAGGTGAATAATGTGAGTTGGCATCCTTACATCCTGGTGATACAGAGCACGCAGGTAGCATCAGAAGCGGGTTCCTACCTCCCTGTGTTCATTCACCAACATTTCTGGGGCACCTCCGAGTGTCAGGCCCTGTGCTGAGTTGCTGCCCCCGGGGCCCAGGCCAGGGGAGGGAAATACAAAGGGAGCTGAGAGGTTGGCCAGGGATGCAGTGGGGAGCAGCCCATACCATGGGGGGGTCCCCCACACGGAGAGTCACCTGTGTTGTGGGGTGTCACCCACAGTCTCACGTGTTACCAACAATTCAGAGAAGCCAGGGCAGACCCTTGATTGGGACCATCACTGGCCTTGGCAAGGACAGCCCCCCGCCCCCCCCCCACACACACTCACACAGAGTGCTGGGCCCAGGGGCTGGAAGAGGCCGTGAGGAACCGCACGCTGGAGATTTTCAGATCAGAAGCAAAATCAAGTTAGAGCTGGGATGGGCAGGGGAGTGGGGGCTTAGGCCAGAGCTTTGTTCACTCACACGAGAGAGCCAAGGAGAGTGAACAGCTGCTGGAGGAGGCCTTTTGTGCCCCAGCGGTGTCTGCCCTGGCCGACAGGAACTGTCCTCTAGGCAGGATGTGGAAGGAAGAGGGAGCTGGAGGGACCCGCGGCAGAGAGCCCAGGCTCAGCTGTCAGTGGTCGTGGGCGTGAGCTTGGGAGGCCTCAGCGTTGAATGCGAGGGCAGATGGGGCAACACCAACCTCAGCCGCCCCTCTGTGTGGTCAGTGGGGGTGCAGCAGGAAGCACAGGCCCCCCTCCCCCGGTGCCATCCAGGGTCAGAGAGAAGGTGCACTTGGGGCTGGGCTGCCTGGTCAGGAGAACAGGGGATCCTGTGGCTGCCAAGGGTGAGCGGGATGTGCAGGGTCATAGCCTGGAAAGGGCACGGCGGCCCGAGCGTGGGGGTGGCCTGGTTGGCTCTGAGCAGACAGAGCTAACGTCACTTCTCGGAGGGGGCCCTGGCCCGCCCTGGCCCGCAGCCGGAATGCAAAGACCCAGCTGGACAGGAACCGACCGGAGCTCAGGCTGGGAACGCCCTGGGCTGCAATGTTCCCAGAGGCCACAAGATGGCGATGGAGCGCTGTAAGCGTCTGTCTCCATTCAGGAAGTATTTCTAGATTCATTATATTTATCGACAAAGTCCCAGCTCTTAATTTAAAAAGCACAGGTGAGGAACATTTCTGTGGAGTAAAGTGAATGTTTGCCTGGGATCGTTTGCCTGTCCTGGACTCAGGTGAACCTGGGCTAAGGTGTCGGGCCCTTGCAGTGAGTGGCGGGCAGAGCCAGGCTGGGACCCTCCCCGTACACAGCGCCCGTGTTTGTGGAAAAACCTTGTGTAAATCATTTTAAAGCAGCTGGGGGCAGTCACTGTTTAAAGGAACAGTGCAAATAATTCTACAGGCGACTTCCCTGTTATTTGACCTCTTCTCTGGCTGGTTGACTTAACAGGACCCAGATAAGCTTTCCCACCAGAACATCCCACTCCAAATCCCCAGCCCTGGGCCCTGGGCCTCTTGACCCCAGTGAGGCGAGGTCGCCCAGCAAGCACCAGGCAGTGCTGGGGGCAGACCTCGCCAGGGACAGCCAGGACCAGGGGCCAGCCGGGCGCTCGCCAGGTGAGGGCTGGGCCACCTGGCGCACCTTGAGCGATCTGAGCGCAAACGGAACAAGTTCAAGGTCTAATAAAGGTTTGGGACTTCCCTCCAGGAAGCAGATTAAAGCAAAGTGGACCCGCCCACCTCACCCCACCCTCTCCTCCAGGGCCAAACCCTGACCACAGGAATTTCTTGCCTGACTGGGAGTCTCCAGACTAAAATTTGGAGCTTCCAAAACATTGCTCTTTCCTGTGATGGGTATGTTCAGTGTCTGGCCAGACCTGAGGCTCGGTATCACACAAGGTACTCCAGGGAGAAGTCGTTTCAAGATCCCAATTTCAGAATGCCAACCGTTACCCTTTTCCCCCCTTTCTGTAAACCTAACATTCTGTAAAGGGTGTTGGCTTAATTTGATGACTAACGGGTAATTTGTGTCTGCTTTGTACATATCCTTTTGTCTATTTCCAAATCCCATAAAAGGGCTACTGAGAGCTTGTTGTCTTTTTTGTGGGATTGGAAAAAGAAAAAGTTACACTGGAGGGAAAATTTTCTGTGTATGTTATAAATTTTATTATTACTTCATGGACTCTTGATTTGATTGATGAATTTCTTATATGGATTTTACAGAAAACTTGCAAAACTGGTAAGTTTTCTTTGTCAGATAAGAGGAGTTATGTAACCCATCCTGTTTGCCTTTTTGCCTTGGCTTCCAGGAAGCTCAGAGTTAAATGTAAGGAACCATCTTGTTTGTGTGTGTTTTTTTAATGTTTTTATTTATTTATTTTTGAGAGAGGAAAAGAGAGAGAGAGAGAGATCGATTTGTTGTTCCACTCATTTATGCACTCATTGGTTGGTTCTTGTATGTGCCCTGACCAGGGATCAGACAACCTTGGCATATCAGGATGAAGCTCTAACCAACTGAGCTACCTGGCCAGGGGGTAATAATCTGTCTTGTAATTGTCAGTGCTAATGGCCTCCCCTTCTTTTACCATTCTCCTTTACATTTTCTTCTTTTATTACTGTGTGTGTGTTGTTGTTGTTTTCTAATTCTAAACTGCTCTTCGTGAAAGTAGGCTAGTCTCCCTCTGGGACTTACCCAGTTGAAAGTTGTAAATAAAAATGATCCCCGAGGAAGAAGTTCAAGTGGGACTCCCTCAAATCTGAGGGCGGCACACATTGATTCAGACACGATGCAGAGGGTGACAGCAGCTCCTTAAGCAGCAGCGGGAGAAAGTCCATCCCTCACCCGGCTCTTTGCTCCCGCCTGGCTAACGCCCTGCCCGTGTGTCTCCCGCTCCGGGAGAGAACTCGGTGTTCTCCGAGGGAGAGTGCTGTTTTGACTTATGACACAACAGCCTTGAGGACAGACAGCTCAGGCAAAACACTGCAGTCACATCCGTCGCCTGTGGCCACAGACACGCCCAGATCCAGATTCCTGTGCGGCTCTCTCTGCCACGGGCTCGAGAAAATCGCTGAACTTCCCTGGGCCTCCCCTGTGAGCTCCGAGTCAGTAACGAAGCGGGTGGTGGTGAGAAAGGGGACGTGGAATTAGAGATTCATCCAACCGCTAACAGAGGGACATTTAAAAAACAAAGAAGAAATTACAAAGAAAGAAGTTGAACAGTTGTTTGTTAGAAAGAAATACACCTACTAGCAAAAAGGGGGCAAAGGAGCAACTTTAGTAAAAAATCAAAGAAAGGCAGAGGAAGCCAACAATGCCGTGCCGTCTGTGTTAGTCAAGGAAATAAACACATTTTTAAATGCCCAAGATGGGCAGCTCTATGGTGAGCTTCCTGCACCGCGCTCTCGGGGAACATCCTTCAGAAAGCCATGCAGGGGGCTGTGCTGAGCGTTTTCAGAGTGTTTATAACTGTGGCCTGGAAATTCTACTCCTGGGACCCCATGTAACCCAAAACAGGGAAAAGCTCCTTGCACAAAGGTGTTCGTGGTGAGGCTGTTGATATTCTTTAAAATGGAATCAGGATAAACATCTGATAGCACAGGTGCCTAGGGTACGTTACTTGATAAAACAAGATAGAAAGTGTGTGGACGCACTAATTACTACCATTTCTACCCACATGACGGTAGTTTACGTATATATGAGGCTTCAGGGAATGCAATGAAATACGATAGTGGTTGTGTTTGGAAGGCAAGAAAACTTTTGCGTTTTTTTAACCTCTATTTTCAAAAGCACAATGTTCTGGGTTTTTTCTAATGGAAAAAATATATGTTTTTACTGATTTTAGAGAGAGAGGAAGGGAGAGGATGAGAGTAAAATTGATCAGAGAGAAACACTGATTGGCTGCCTTCTGCACACAACCCCCCCATCCCCCACCCCCGCCCCAGAGATCTAGCGTGCCCTGACCAGGAATAGAACCGGGGACCTCCCGGTGCACGGGACAATGCTCAACCAACTGAGCCACACCAGCCAGGCATAGCTTTTATTTGAAAGGACCATAAAAGAATAAAGAGGTGGGTTAGATAGGTTTCTCAGGTGGTTAGGTTCATGCTAAAGAAAAAGGTTGGGGGTGGTGCCTCCAGAAGATTGCTATCTGTTTACGTAGCCAGGTAAAGGACATCTAAAAATAATATCTATTAATGTGATGTAGTAATTAATAATTTAATAAAGGAAAGGCCATTTTAACACCAAAAAGTAGGATGGATCAATTTCGCTATCATATCCTCAATTCTTCGTTTTGCTGAGGACCTGTGGACCCCTGGGTGGCCGGCTCTGGCTCATTCTCCCCGGACGAGTCCGGCCAGGGCCCTGACCCTCAGCCTCAGCCACCCTAACCCTGGCCTCTGGGCAGCGGCCCCCAGCCAGGGCCCTGACCCTCAGCCTCAGCCACCCTAACCCTGGCCTCTGGGCAGTGGCCTCCAGCCAGGACCCTGACCCTCAGCCTCAGCCACCCTAACCCTGGCCTCTGGGCAGCGGCCCCCAGCCATCGTTCCCAAAGGCAGCACAGAGGAGGTCTCAGTGCTGTTTTCAGGACTTCAGAGAGCGATGCTGGTTCTTTTAAAAAAAAAAATTTTTTTTTTTTGAGAGACAGGGAAAGGGAGAGATAGAAATAGCAGTAAGGAGAGAGAATCATTGATCGGCTGCCCCCTGCACGCCCATCGAGGATCGAGCCTGCAACCCAGGCGTGTGCCCTGACCGTGACGGCCTGGTTCATCGGCCGATGCTGGTTCTTAAGCGGGAACGCCGGCTGTTGGTCCTTTATATCATCGGTGGTTGATTGAACCCGTGGCTCCCTGTTTCCAAGCACAGTGCTCCTGAGGGGAGACACCTGCTGACGAGGGTGTTGTCATCCCAGCAAAGTGGAGTTTGCCAACCCTCGTCTCTGTGCCATGGTTGTCTGCGTATTTCATAGTTTTTAGACAAAGTGGGTCAAAATCTTTCCCCACTAAGATGTCAATATCCCCACCCCTGAGCCTCACAGGACGACAGTGGGACCGCACCATCGGGGCCACACCTGCCCAGGGAGGCTGAGAGGAGGCCCCTGGGCCCCTGTCCCAGTTCCCGTGAGGCACCTGGTTGTGGACGAGGGGGAGCCGACGGCTGGAAGGGCAGCACTTACCCTGCCTTCCACAAGGCCAAGTCCTCGCACGCCGGGGGGCTGGGAGGTCTGCTCTGTCTTCTCCATACAGCGCCCACGTCCTCCTGTGACCTCAGTGGTCCTCGACCCAGGCGTGCAGGCAGCACCACGCGCTTTGCAGAAGCAGAGCCCGAGATTCTCATTCTAGATTGCGGTGGGGTCGGGGTTTTTTTAAATACTTGCAGGTGATTCCACCGCCTGACAAGCTTGAGAACAGCCACAGCCAGGTCTCGGGGAAGGTTCTGATGGGTCCGAGGGGTGTGCGTAAGGGCCCAGCTGGGACTCTGTTTGTTCATTTAATCGCCTCAGTGGGCCTGCCAAGTGGCTCGGTGGTTGAGCATCGTCCTGTGCGTGGAAAAGCTGCCAATTCGATTCGAGGTCAGGGCACATACAGAGGGCAACCGATGGATGTTTCTCTCCCTTCCTCTCTCTAAGCACTTCCTCGGTGAGGATTAAAATAACACAAGTGAGCACATTTTCTCCCCCCTACCATGTGAGCACTCAGTTCTGGTTTAGGGCCTCAGAGGCTCGCCCAGGGGCCTCCGTGACACACCCTGTGTCGGGGGAAGAGTTGCCTCCGGATGGGTCTGTCTTGTGAACCCCAAGCTGTAGGGTGGGCCCGCCCAGATCAGCCGGTTGGGGAGTGCCTTCCTGGGGTGCTGCCTGGGCCTCCGGTCCCCGCCCTACCCTCCGGGGTCCTCCGTGCAGAGCAGGCGAGCTGGGGGTGTCACTCATCCTTTTTTCTGGCTGTCAAAGGTGCAGATAATTAATAAGAAGCTGGATCTTAGCAACGTCCAGTCCAAGTGTGGCTCAAAGGATAATATCAAACATGTGCCCGGAGGCGGCAGTGTGAGTACCTCACACGTCCCCTGCGCCCGACTGGGGTCTGGTGTTGAAGGCGTGGCATGAGTGTGTGCCCTGTGAGACATTGCATAGAATAAACCATCCTCAGGCTCCGTGCCCCGTTCTGGGAGGGGTGCCCAGCACCGGGGGGGCCCCTGGCCTGCCCGGGGCAGCTTAGGGAAGGTGGCTGATCTTTCTCTGGCCCATACCTGGAAGTGGGGTCCTCACAGCATTCACACCCACCGTGACCCCACTCACCGCCCAGCACGGGCTCCCGGGAGCCCCGCAGCCCGGCCCCTCGAGGTTGGGCTGAAGGTGGCAGCACTTGGCTCTGTCACCCTCTCCCCATCACCTGGGCAGGCCCACTTTGAGGGGTCCCACTGTGGACAGCTGGCCCTGTCCTGACAAGTGGACACAAAGGTCACACTGTTCTACCTCAGAGCAAGCCGAGTCCGGTCTCTGGCCTCATTTGTCTCCTGCACTTGCAGGGGGTGAGCCAGTGCCTCAGCCTCTGGCCCATGTTCAAACCAGCTCCATCCCCTGGCAGAGGCTCAGATGCAAAAGAGCCCAACAGAAGGCCCCAGATGACCATCTGCGGCCCCGGGAGACAGGGAAACACCGCTTTGGGCCCGTTTGATTATTTATTGTATTGCTTTGGGCCCTTTTAAATCCGGCTGCCTCCAAATGCCTCTGGGGACTCCTTGCATCCCCACTGCATGTGTCCCCGAGACCTGGGGCTGCACCCTCACCTCCCCACTTGGCCAGCTCTGCTGCTGCCCTCCTGCTGTCCTTTGTGGGTGCAAACTCATCCTGAGGCTCCCCCACTGCCCCGGCCTAACACGGGGAGCAGGAGGTTCGAGACCCCTGCAGCCCACTCCTGGGGAGAGGAGGTTTCTGAGAGCAGGCACCGCTCCTGGCTGGCAGCCGAGGATGGTGGCGATGCCCCAAGGGGCTCTCCCTCCAGAAAATGCCCAGCCTGGGCCGCCGTCGTCTGCATCCAGCCGAGGGTTTATTCTTGCAATGTGCCGCTGCCCCGCCTGAGCGCTGTCCGCTCTGCCCAGCCCCGCTGCCCCGGGATGGGCACTCACCACGCGGCTGCTGCATGGCGCTCATGAACGCTTCCTCACCAGTGCTGCTGTCTCCCCAGTCCCTGCTCGCCTGCCCCTGGCCCCCCACCCGCCCCAGCCCTGGTCACGTTGCTGCTTTAGCTCCGACTCCTGGTTCGCTGGCTTTGCCGCAGACTGGTCTCCGGCCAGAGGAGGAGGCATGTGCTTTCCGGTTTAACTCGTGTCTGGTCAGCTGGTGGGAGGCCGTGCTGGCGAGGCTGAGGCAGGTCCTGCAGGAGGAGAGGGTACCTCCCACTGCTGCTGGCAGTCACAGAACACGGAGGAACTTCCTCGGGCACCTCCTGTCTGTCCCGCACTCCCTGCGGGCCTGTGGGTTAGCCTAGAAGAGACCCGCGGGCGCCCGGCCGGCCAGGCCCTGTGCTTGGTCCGCGCCTGAGGCTTGTTTGCAGGAGGAGCCTTCGAAGAAAGCTCGTCTGGGGGAAGGTGGCTGCACAGTGTCAGCCTCAGGTGATTCGGGGGCCCTGGACCCCCAGCCTGGGCTCCGGCCTCTGGCCTGCCCTCCTCTCTCCAGTCTGGAGGTGCCTGCCCATCCAGGCTGCAGGGAAGAGCAGGAAGCCGGGGTCACGCCCCCTCCCTCCGGGATGAGTTCCCAAAGCTCCTTGACCACCTCCTGGGTGCCCACCCAGAGCCCAGCTCCCTCCCAGGCCTGTTCTCAGAGTCATTCATTACCCACCCCCTCGAGGTGCAGGCTGCCAGCCCTGTGCCTCCCGCCCCACACCACACACGGCCACACAGCCCAGGCCCACCTGTCGGCCTCAATCAACTCTCCATGGACTGAGGGCACACGCCAGGGTGATTCTGAGTAACTGAGAAAATGGGGTTGTTCCAGATGATTCTGACCCAAGGAGAAACTTCTCCTCTTTTCCTGGTGCCCCTGGTTAAACCCATTCTCAGGCACGAGGCCATCTCCCTCGGGTAACCTTCTCCAGGCAGGAAGTGGGAGTCCCCTGGGTGACACCTCCTGCACCCTCTGGTGACCTCACACAAGGTCACTGCTGGGAAGGTCCCTCAGTGACCATCTGGGACCCCTCACAGCCATGGCTTTGTGGGACTTCCTCCAGGAGCCCCCTGGGGAGCCCCCCCAGGGATGCCGGCTCTTGGGCTGAGATCAGGGGGCTGTGCAGGGGCCACCGTCCCCCTGGGGAGGATGCCAGTGTGGCCGGCCACAGGGTGGACCGGGGCCAAGGGGAAGCCCTGGGCCTCGGCGGGTGTGTGGGTGTCTGTTCTCTGAGACACTAACCCTGGGGGTGTCTGCTGGGCCGCCTGCCCCCTGCCAGTGTCACTTTCCAGGACACTCAGGTGCCAACTGGCTCTTCCGTCCGGGTCTCCCCACGGCTGCTCACTGACCGTCATTGCTCTTGCTGTGGGTGTGCTGGGGTTTCTGGAAGCTTCTCCTGGGAGAAAGCCCCCTCTCCGCCCCCAAGGCCCTCTCCTCTTTGAGGCCCAGCAGATACGCTCTCGCTTTCCCAATGCTGCACACTGGGTCGCACTGGCCTCCTTTCTCTGTGTCCTCGCTGAATGTGATGTCTGTGTCGCGTCAGGAGTGGCTGCTCTACGTGTGTTTGCTAAGCAGATGGCATGGGCCCTGCTCAGGGACAGAGAGAAGGACCCTGTTTGCCCCGAGGGTCCTTGCCCTGGGGACTGGAGCGTCTTCAGCCCCCAGTCACTGGTGCAGACCCGGCTCCCTGCGGGCAGGGTGGGCACGTTTCCACCCAGGCTGGGCCTCGGCAGACAGGCCTGGTCCAGCCGCGCCTGGATGCCCACAGCTGCTTCTCATTGGGCTCCGCCCGTAAAGTAACCCCACTTATTCTCTGCCCGCCCCTCTCACCTCCAGGTGCAAATAGTCTACAAACCCGTGGACCTGAGCAAGGTGACCTCCAAGTGCGGCTCATTAGGCAACATCCATCACAAGCCAGGTAGCCTTTGGGAACT